TCCATTTTGGGGATAGGAGCCCGTACGCGCATGCAGATTAAGTCCCCAAAGTTTCAGCCCCGTAGCTTTTGCCGGTCTCGAGATGAAAAATCGGTTGTAGATTATACCCTCAAAGTTTCAGCCCCGTAGCTTTTGCCGGTCTCGAGATGAAAAATCGGTACACGCGCAGCGCACACACAGACACACACACAAACACACACAGACACACACACACAGACAACCTCTCGTCAATATGCGTTTTTCGCATTGCACTGCTGCAAAAAACGCACAAACACACACACAGACAACCTCTCGTCAATATGCGTTTTTCGCATTGCATCTAAAAAACGCATATGAAACAGAAGTCACCAGATATTCTCTTCGTTCTCAGTGCTCAGCGCCTAAGTGTGAATGACAGCTCAAACAGTTCGGAGCAACAGGTTGAAACTCACATCATAAGAATTGTGACAGAAGTGATTGCCAATTAGTTCGGCTTTATGCGCTGATAATGCATGCGTGAAAAGGTTCTGCAATCGGACCAAAGCCGAAAAAATCCGCACTTGTTTATCCTCTGAACCAGCTACCAACAATCTAAAAATTTTCCGTCACTTCAATAAAATCACTGAAGTATTTCCTCATTTGATGATACCTCGAAAAAAAAAAGAAAATTACCACTGTGGGAAAAAAATCTCCAATATTTTCAAAAAAACAGGTACAGGTACCATACATTTAACTACCAGGTAATAAATATTCGACAGCGAACACTTCAGCTCATTTTAAGCTTTCCCTCTCACCCTCACCCACAGTACGCACGAAGTGTGCGTGAGTTTAAATCCATTCACAATTCGATACAAACTACATTAATGTGTACGGCAAACTCATTCTAAAATGCTAGCTTTCTTATTAGCTTCAAAAACAGGAAGATCCCTTCAGTTTCTCAACTGAAGTTCCGCGTGTCCACACGTGAAACGAAAACACAGTTGAAGCTAAATTTATATTCGAGGGTAGCACGTCGACAAAAAACACACCCCCGATAATTCAGCTTTTTATCTTGTCTGGTTCCCGAAAAAGAAGTTTTTTGCAAAACTTTTCATGAACCTGTACACGAGACTCAGACGTACATGGGAGCGAGATTTGCGGGGCCGTCTATGGGCAAGAAGCATTCTAGCAAAATTCGACTTTCTAGCTTTTGCAGTTGTTGGATTGAAAACTCTGACAAAAATTCGGACACGCACAAACACAGAGGTACTACAACACATAAAACAGTCTATAAATTCGCGGTAGGTTAGTTCCGAGATCGCTGTCTTCCTTCTTGTGTTCCCAACATTTTGCCCCGCAGAACGTATTTAAGGTGTAAATTTTTTTCAGCATCTGGAATGTCTTGAAAAACCACAAAACAATTGTCAGGTTGGAAAAACAATGTTAATCCTGTCATACTCTTTTCTTCCTCGTGACTTCTAAACACAAATAATTAAACGATTTTTGCTCTACACTGTTTTAAGGTTGTAATTACCTCGTTTTTGAAACTTTCTGCTAAAAGTTGAAAAAAACTTATGTCTTATATATCTCCTGGTAGTAGAACAATGTAATATGAAGCAAGGGCGGAGAGTCTATGATCTCAAAGACCAGTCACTCGTGAATTCATAAAAGTGTTAATCCCGATGATAGGCACCGCTGATTATTAGTAAAAAAATATATATTTTTGATAGATATAAAGAATGCAGAAGCACAGACCGGTTATCATAGCTCCATTCCATGTGCTTCACTTTCTCAGCAGTGATTTTGTGTGTGTGCTGTAAAACGAATGGATTCAATTGAAAATTCTTGATGCCCATCACAAGAAACACTTGCACGTCGCCACCAACACATACCGCCAATCGCCTATAACAAAAGTAATGATGGTAATTTGGAAGTTTCATCCACTTTATCGAGTTAATAAACAAGATACTCTGGTAAGCCCGCAAAATGCTACATTCTTATAAATCGGAAAAAAATTTAAAAAGCAGAGAGGTAAAATAACAGAATGACAAGAAATTTCAGAATATAAGTCAACTATTCAAAACTGAAAATGTGATGCTGTTGTAAGCTGATATTATGAAAGTCGGCACTGGAAGCAAGCAGACCTTCCGTCTGGCGAAAATTTCGCATCGCTAACGGCACAACGAAATCGATGGCGATACAATACCGTCTGTGTAAGCAAATTCACATACTGCGCCTGGCCAGCTACAAAACATTGAATCTCAGTAACCATCAAAACGACTCTACATTTTTAAAATAAAAAAAAACCCTCTATTTGGAGCAAAAATATGGCCAGCTGAGAATTTTGTTTGTTTTTATACATTTCATTTTTTGCATCTATGCAATGCGAAAACGCATATTGTCGAGAGCCTGTCTATGTGTGGTGCGTCTGTATTTGTGTCTGTATCGATTTTTCATCTCGAGGAAAGCTACACGGCTGAAACTTTGGCAAATTAATTTATACCTATATATGGGCCTCCATCCCCAAAATGATCGCTCACTCCAGTGCGGCACTCGAGTATGGCAAATAAAAGCTTCGGAGGGAAAACTGCTAACTCAGAAACTAGAAAAGCTGGAAAACTGAAATTCTAAAGATATGTTCCCATTTCAAGTACAATTTAAAGATTTCAAATCCAGCCCCCGAGTGTGCCTGGTTCTCACGTGCGGACACCTGAAAGTTTTTGGTGGGAAAATTATCAACTCCGGAACCTAAAAAGTCAGGTATGAGGGCGACTTCCACGCCTAGCATAGACGCCGGCGCCTAGACATTTGTGCCTAACCAGGCGGGCATGAAAGCGACTTTCACGTCCCTCCCGTGTCTCATGTACGAACGTGACATTTGACGCAACTCTGCAACCGAAGTAAGCAGAGTGGAAGAGACTTTCTGAGCGCGGCCCAAAGCCGTGTTTGAGTAAACGCAAGTGAAGACAGCATCCGCGCTCCCCCTCACGCACGAACACGTAAAATTTGATGCAACTCCCCAACCAGAATAACTGGAGTGCTGAAATTTGTTGAGTATGGCCTAGAACCGTGTTTGGACAGGCACAGGTGGAAAAAACATTCACGTTCTTTTCACGTGCTGATGCGTGAAAATTTACGCAGCTCCGCGACCGAAGCAACTGGAGTGTTGAATTTTTTCAGCACGGATTGGGAGTCACTGTAATAATTTCTGACGTTCGTGGTGGTCGGTCTCAATTCTTTTAGCTAGAAGCATCTGCCGGGGAAACAGTGCCATTAGCGGAAAGAGCTTGCGAGGGATTTGTGCAAAATGCATTTTCATATCGGCAGTCGGTGCGCTGGCCAACTGTTTTGTATGGAGACAAAAAAAAAGCTGAAAAAGGTCTTCTAAGTATCTTTATCATCCTTTCTTGATCGAATTCTTATGCGTTTTGTGCTATGTAACAGCGTTACAAAAAGCATATTGTCACGGGGTTGTCTGTGCGTGTGTGTGTTTGTGTGTGTGTCCCACATTTTGTCCCGCA